TTCTGGTTTTAAAATACTATCACACACAATCATTATATCACTTATTTTTACACAGACCTCTGAGATAGGCTGGACACATACTCTAATTCCACAGATGAGGAAATGAAGGGCTCAAGGGGTCATACAACTAAAATGTGTAAAGTCATAGCTTGACTGTAGGTGATCCTAGAGTGTCTTGCTTTTGTTTTTGGGGATTGATCATCTAACTTTGATGTCTCTGCAGAAATATACCCATTTGGGTTCTAAACTGAGTCAACATGCATTTCAAAAGGAAAAAGCGGCAATGTGACATTAAGTGCAGGCACAGTGGGTAACCAACTTCATGGAACATTGCCAGTCTCAATGTTCTGACTCTGTACAAACCTGCTTGTTTCTGTAGAGCTGAGAGGAAAGCTGAGCCTCTTCCCACGAGCATGAGTCTAGAACAGGAAAATTCGAACCACTGGATGATTCTGTGAAAAGCCAAGCAGATATCTAAGAACATACACTTGCAGTTTGTGTGCAATAAAGACATTTATCAAATAATTTCAGACAGTTTAATATGTTCGGTTACCATTCCAAACATAGCTACACAGAAAAATAAAACATTTAAAGTTTTCACGAGGGGCAAGCAAACTGTGAGAGGCAAATATTTATATACTGTATTCCAAAGTGGTTAATGAAGTAAATGTTTTAGGAGGTAAAGAGTCACAGTCTTTCCCAATAGATGTATTCTTGTTAGCTAAATTAATAAAGACTGTCCTGTTTGCGACACTAATTCATTCAAATAATTTTTACCCTCCCTCATACACAAAACTTTTCAATATCACTATGTTTCTTTTTTAGTTTTTATCTTATTTTCTAAGTGCTAGCACTTGATAATATAGTGTTTGGTTCTATAGTCAAATCCCACTTTGTGATGCTATTTTCCCTGTCTGTGTGCCTGTTTTAAAACTAATGGAGGGCATTTATTCAGAATTCCATGTGCTTCCTGCTTTAAAATAATTTGGACCTTGCTCTTTCTGAAGGTCTTGAGGACAATCTCAAGATTGTGCCCAAATCTTATCTGTTTCAGCTGTTCTTAGCTGTACATTTTTAAGCTCTTTATCAAAGAGGTTTTATCCCCCCCATACTTAATAGCTAGCTCTATATCCCTCAATAAAAACTATGCTTGGGCATGCTAAATTGGCTTTCTTTTACTTCCTTTTTTTTTTTTTTGAGTTGGAATCTCACTCTGTCACCCAGACTGGAGTGCAGTGGCCGCTACCAGCCACCACAACCTCGACCTGCTGGGCTCCGGCAATCCTTCCGCCTCAGCCTTCCAAGTAGCCAGAATTACAGGCATGCGCTAAAGGTGCGGGATTACAGGCTGAACCACCAAGCCCGGCTTCTTTTACTTTCTTTTCCTCATCTAGTACAGTTCTGACTCTTGCTGTCTACCTAAACTGCTGTTACTGAAGTATTTTTTATTGAAGAGAAATGAAGAGTAAGAGAGAGGAATAAAATTTTATGAACAATTTGGGTTAATATTCTAAGGAATTTTATTTTTGTTGTTGCTTGCAGTGAAAAGCTATCACTGAACAACTTTCTCCTTGACATTTAAGTGTATTTTCATTTTGGGTTTTTTTGGTGTGTCTTTTCCTAAATAATAATTTAAAAATCATGTGGTAGATCCAACAGTACAGATATTTAATGTTGAGAAGTCTGAAACTTTTTCCAGAAACTTGAATGTTAATATAGAAATTCCTCTAATATTCATAAGTATTGTTTACTAAACCACAGGTCAAAATTAATCTGTAATTTTCCATTAATGTTATACATCCCTCCAAAGTTGAATTTTTTTGTGTGTAAAAAAATATTTTCCACTTCTGAGCCACTTCATAGATTTTCCTCTATGAAATGGGAGATTAAGTGAGTATTTCATGCTTTTCTGTCAAACTCAAGGAAACTTTTCTGAATTCCAAACTGAATGCTCCAACTGCATTGATTCCAAAAGCATCCTGCTAAAGTGTTACACTGTTTATAAAACTTCGATCTAGTCCCAAATGCCTTCAGTGAGTTGGGAATCTCTAAGAACTGTAAAGAGTAGAGAGAAATACATGCGGTCCAGTGAGTAAGGGGAAGGATCCCATTTTCACTATTTGGCAAGTACAGAACAGTGGGTTTATGGCTTTAAATTCAAGAGTCCTTGGATTTGCATAAATGTTTCATAGCATCCCCTCGTCTAGAGTCCTAGCCCATGATGCTTTGCAGCCATGGTCACTGGAAAAGGGCTCCAGAACTACCAGGAAAGCAGAAGAGCAGAACTTACCCTGTGCCTGTGGTGCTTGTTGGGGCTCTCTGTTGTCCAGGAGACCAGCAGCCCAGAAAGAGACCCAAGTCTCCGTGGAAACGTCAACACTAGATTCTGACGTTGTAGTGGAATACGGGCAATTATAACTCTGGCCTTCTACAAAGTACTGGTCTTGGCAAGGCAGAATGGTGTTCTGTGAAATTTAGTATGAGGAGGGGGATCCCAGGAGATGGGGGTGATGGGGATTTGGAGGGAAGAAAGGGTGAGAGAAACAAACAGATATTGCTTGCAGTAAATTTAAGGAAAAACAGCAAAAGTGTTAATTCTAGATTCAGATTAATTTTTGAGTGGTAAAATTATAAATACTAAGAGGGAATAAGTGTCTTGGTTTACCAAGTATTCTCCTTAGGCTTTCTGAGCAAATAACAGACTAGTATTGGATGGGCTAAACTGTTAAATATCCAGGAGTATTCTCTGTTGCAATATCTAGCACATCTGATAGGCTACCCAGGAGTAAAAGGAATTCCACTTATTGATTAAAAGACATAAGAACTATTTAGTTCCCTCTAGCAAATATTTTAAGTGTATTTATAAAAAGACAAGGAGTCCAGAATGCCAAAACTGAAGTGGAAAAGATATTACATCATATAGTCTAACCTCCTCATTTTAGTTTCTGAATCATATACTTGTCTCATTCCTCCCTTCCTTTCCACTCCAACCTAAAATGCTGCTGTTGGATCATGGTGATTTCAACAATTTTGTATACACACACACACACACACACACACACACACACACACACACACACACCTGTCCCAGAGGCAATTAAATACATTTTCTTCCTAAGCGTGGAAGCATAAGGTCACTCCAAGTAAACATATAATCGAAGCTGGAAAAATTTCATCAGTGAAGACAGCAAACTCTGGTTCCCTTCATCACCAGGGCTCAATGCCCTTTCAAAGTTATCTTGCCACCACTAATTGACATGTATTCTCCACTGTGTTTTGTTCCAGTGAACATTCTTGTGCCTCCCGCCTATCAAACCTCAAACACACAGTCTTTCCAAATATCCAAGCAGAAGCAGGTATGCAGCCTTTCCGGGTTAATTTGTACAACAACCCATTCCTAATTATTTGTCAATGTTTAATCAGGTAAAAGCCATTCATTTTTAGCAGAGCCCAGCTTTGGAAAAACTCTTTTTAGCCACCACAATTCTTTTGTTGACTTGAGAACTTCCTTGGGCATAACATAAACAGAGAGAAAACAAATAGGAAGAAGAAGAAAAAAAAAAGTTAAGTCAATTAAATCACACTTTGTTAATGTTCCCAGTAAGTTAAGTTTTGAAAAAAGTCCAGTTCTGAAGTAAGTCCAGCTTGGGCAGTGCAGACCAAAGAAATTTAGTCAAAAGTTTATCAAGTGCTTTTTCTTTTCTTTAAAAAAAGCATGTTTGCAGACTCTTTCCCTGAGGTTATTATTGGAATCAGAGCTACGTTATTATGCAATTGACACCTGAGAAGAAAACAAACTCCAAATTCTCCTAGACTAGTTCAGGTTAAAGTGTTTGCAAATATGTGCATAATGTAGAAAGAGGTGAAATGAAAAGTGAGTGAGTACAGGTAGAGATGAAAAGTTGGGGGAAAGGTACAGACAGTAAGATAGTAGGAATAACAGAGAGAGAAAAAGAGAGAGAATGAGAGAGAGATGAGAGAAAATAGAGTATGAGAGAGAATAAGAGAGATGAGAGGAAGAGGGAGAGTCAGAAGAAGAGAGAGGATGAGAGGAGAGATGAGAAGGGAAGAGATAAGAGAGAATGGGAGAGAAGAGATGAGAGAGAGAGAGCGAGAGAGAGAGAGAGAGAGGAGGGGAGAAGGGGAAGGAAAATGAGAAAGAGAGAATGAGAGAAGAAGAGAGATGGAAGAGAATGAGAGAGGCAGAGAGATGAGAGAGAGAGACAAAGAGGGAGAGAGATGAGAGAGAGAATGAGAAAGGGAGAGATGAGAGAAGGGATGAGAAAGATGAGAAAGAATGAAAAAGGGAGAAGGCCAGAGGTGGGGAGAGATAAGGGAAGAGGGGAATGGAGACAGGGTTGCAGAGAGGACCTGTTTTAATTGGTAGTTTGCAGAGAAACCTCACTCCCAAGGTGGAGGCCCAGATTTTCCCAGCCGACCAGCAAACGCCAGTTCCTCACTTACCATCTTGCAATGGAAGAAGCGCTGCCGAAAGTGAGCCCACTCTTAATTTTTTCCGCAAAGCCAGCAGGAGCTTTAAATGGGTTGAGGGGAGGAGCTAGGAGAGACGAGTTCTAATCTGCGGGAACTCCCGGTGACGCCCAGGGCTCCCGGCGAGGCCGCATTCTGATTTGGCGAGAGGCTGTCAAACGGGTGACGCGGGCCAGGAGACACCCAGCCAAAGCCAAAGTCACCGGCGCTCGGGG